AGAGAGAGGAAGGGAGAGAGAGAGAGCGCGAGCGAGCGAGCTTCCAGCTGCTGGTTCACTCCCCTAAATGGCTGCAACAGCTAGGGCTGGGCCAGGCTGAAGCCAGGAGTTTCTTCCAGGTCTCCCACGTGGGTACTGGGGCTCAAACACTTGGGCCATCCTCCACTGCTTTCCAAGGTCATTAATGGGGAGCCGGATTGGAAGTGGAGCAGCTGGGACATACGGATGCTGGCATCGCAGGTGGCTGCTTTACCCAGTACGCCACAATGCTGGCCCCAGCGGACTGAGCCTCAGCCCCCTCAATTAGAAGTCTCCGGTGGAACCAGGAAATCTATTACTGCTCATGCTTCCCAGGTGATTCCAATGTTCAGCCACACTCGGATCTCGCTGTGCCGATTCCGGCTTCCATCTGGGGAGCCGTCATCCGGGTGCAATGGGGGCTTAGTAGTGATGGGAGACGCTCACAACTGCAGCAGGCCCTGCTTCTCTGTGCCCGGCACAGGGAGGGCCCTGCTGACCCCATGGGTACAGACCACTGTGGTCAGAGTCCTGACTGCATTTGGAGACAAACAGGTGCACGCGTGGTGAAGTGAGACAGACCTGGGCTGAGCGCCCCTCCCGCTTCTGTGCTCTGCTGCCAGCTGATCGTAAACAAATGACAAAGCTCCCCGTGGCTCAGTGTCCTGTCTGTCCATGGAGGTGGTGCCAGTGCTCACCCCTGGAAGGACCCTATGAGCTGGGCCGACGCAGTAGGAAGGCACCCCCTTCATATCACTCACTGTTGTTGTTACGGCTGTGTGAGATGTTCGCATGGGAATTCGACATCGAAGCAGTTTGTGCTGAGTGTTTAATGCATTCCCAGGCCTACTGCAGACGAGGGGGTGCTCGCTGGGTGACAGTTGTCGTTAATGGTGCTGTTAGATCTTTACGGTGCTGGTCCAATAGGGAGCAGAGATGCCCACATTTTGCTGACAGGAAGACGGAGGTCAGGGAGGCTGGAGCCCGCCCAGCTGGTTGGAGTTGGGAAGGGTGTTGAATTGCGTGTCTTCCACCTCACATGTGTCTCTTTCCCCACCTCCAGCAGACTTTTACAGCACCCGCTACGTGGAGGGAGCGAGGGAGAGAGGCGCAGACAGTTACGTGCAGGGCAAAGGGGCTTCCTCAGCCTTCTGTGCCAGGCCATTGAGCGACAACTGTGTGGCCCTCGCTTCCTCCTCGCGTGGTGTTCCTGCAGGAGGGTCTGATCATGCCACCCCGGAACACCTTACAGGCACTAAGGCATCCTGTGGGCTGGGTGCTCAGAGCTGCTCTGACCGCTGCAGGTGCAGCCCATACTCTGTCCTCTCCTGCAGCCTTCACTCCGCCCTGAGTCTCTGCCTGTGCCCCTAGCTTGGCTTCTCCAAGTCCAGGCCCCACTGGATTTGTTGGGTCCACGCGTGGCTATAGACGCACCCCCCCCCCCGCCCCGGTCTCAGCTTCTTCCCCATCCTGGAAAAGTAAGCAGGAGCTTGGGCACCCTGTTCTGTCTCCCGGGGGAAGTGGCCATCAGCCTGCTGTGTCTCTTTGCTGGGTGGAAGGTCCTGTCCCATGGTAAAGAAATCTCAAACCCTAACGAGGAAGAGAGAAGTGTTACCCTAAAGAGAATCCCTGTATCCGACACATGCTGGTAAGGTGGATCCCAAGCTCTGTGTCTTTTTTCTCTGTGTAGATGTCAACTGAAGCTTCCCCACTAGATGCGTTTCTCTGAGCTCTTTGTCTAGCACAGCCTCAGCCGACCGATTCGCATCTCTTCTTGGTGGGTCACTGCATTTAGCAGACAAGTCTAATATCCAGAAGCCCTGAAAGTGGAAAAACCCTAGGTTGGGAGGCAAGAGATCAAGTTCTAGATCAGTGCTGCCTGATAGGAACATCTGCAGGGAGGGAGGTGTGCACACGGAGCATGGAGAGACCTCTTGAGAGGTGGTTCGTGCAGCCGAGGACTGCATTCTTATCTGTTAAGACGTTTGATTACTGTGAGTGGTCACATGGGGCAAGTGGTGTCCCTACTGGGCAGCACGGCTCCAGCTCCAGCTCTGAATGCCCCGAGCTGCGAGACCTTGATCCAGTTTCTTCCCCTTCCAGGGAAGATGAAGAAGGGATGATGAGAGAAAAAGAACCTGTTTGCAGTGCGCACTGAGGCCTGGGGTCAGCTAGAGCTGAGGTCGAGCCAGCTCAGCCACGTGCCTGCTCTGTGTCCTCGGGCCAGTCGCTTGACCCCTCTGTGCTTCCGTTCCCTCATTTGCAATGGGAGCATGCTCTCAGGGACCTCCCAGGGTTAGACTGAGGTGTCAGTGAGCTATGACTCCACCAGTGCCTGTTTCCAGGAGGCTCATAGCAAATTGTAGCAGTGTGGCTGCCACTGCAGACAGCCACGTTCCCTTCTTACCGCTCTGGAAAGCTCTGACAATTCTTGTTTCGGCTCCATGTGTTCTTAAATGCTTACTTTCAGGACTGAATTTTCTAACCTTGAACCTCATGAAATTATGTCCTTGTGCTTCTGCGTGTTTTGTTTTCCCTTGGGAAAACCAGAATCTTTCCCTGGGGAAAAACGGCACTTAACACATTTTCAAAAGAGTCCAAAAGGCTCAAGAAGTCTGGGAGAGAGCAAGCTGGCGCTCCTGGTCCGTGTGGAACAGGACTGGCTGGGATCCAGAACTGGAAGCCGTCCTATCCCAGCCCTGCCACCTCCAAGCCGCACAGACCTTTTGAACTTGGACCTCCTCATCTGTAAAATGGGAATAATAGAGGAGCTGTTTCACAGCTTGCTGTGGGGATTACATAAGCAAGCCCATGTTAGTTGTGTAGCATAGCACCTGGCGCCCGGGCGAGTGAGAGCTGGCTGTGTTTATCATCATCGTCGTCATCCTTGTTACCATGGTTTCCAGCCACTGTACACCAGGCTCGGGCGCAGGGAGTGTCTGGCTCCCAGAGCCTGCCAGCCCCCACCTGCACATTGTCTGGGCCCTCATCGCGTGCCATCCCCTCTTGCCTGTTTTGCCCCAGCCTCTCTGGATGCCTTGGTGTCCATTCAGCATAAAAGACATCAGCTGCCACAGGGCCTTGCGGCTGCTGGTCCCTGTGTTGGGAGTGCTCTCCCCAGACACCCGTCTACATGGTTTGTGTCTTTACCCACATACCCTAGCGAGGCCTCCCTGACCACCTGTTTACAAAAGAAATGCCATCCCTCCACACGTCGCTTTCTGGCACTCTCTCTATCTCTTCTTCTTTGTCTCAGCTGACATTTGCCTCTCTGGGATGGAGCTCCAGGAGGGCAGTCTGCTTTTCTTTCTTTTGTTCCCTGCTCTGGTGCGTTAGCCTCAAACAGCCCTGGACATGCAGAAGGTGCTTAAAAAGACTTTGTAGATGAATGAATGAGTGAGTCTCACCTAGCCTGAGATGGCTACTGTAGCATTCTCAAAGTCCCTAAGATGCCTCCTGTGTAATAGTTTCAACCAAAACAATACTCCCCGAACACTGCTCTGTGCCAGGTTGGCTCTTAGGTCCTAGGATAGAAAGATGAACAAGGCCATCCCTCGGGCACACGTGATGACCACAGCGCCATCCTCTTCCACACCCTTCTCAGTGACCCTGCAGGGTCCTGCGCCATCCTGGGTGCTGTCAGTGACCCTGGACTGAAAGGGCGTGACTGTCGAGGACCACTGCCACCCCATCTGTCTTACTTGATGCTGCGTTCTCAGCCCAAGTGTAAGGACTGGCATGTGGACGTGGACCGCGTGAGTGCATGAACAATCTCGGGGTGCAGCAGAAGAGACTCTGGCACAGGGGTCTGCGTGTCAAGGAGGGGCGACTGGCCCTGCCTAGAGCCGGGGGGATGGAGCGGTGGGAGAGTCGCTCGGAGCTGGGGACCCTTCAGTGCCTTGGCGGCTTGTCTTGCCCCTCCCTTGGCCAACCATGGAGCAACTTGGGAATGATGGGAGGGCAGTGACTTCCTCCCTCTCAGGAAGTGGGGTGACCCTTCTGCCTCTGCCTGAGCCTCTGTCCTTGAAGTTAAAAATAGCCAAGGATGGGAGTGCAAGGACATGCTATCCTTTTCTGCCACCAAGCAGGGATTCTGCTCCCTCTTCTCAAAGGGGGCTGCTGGGAATTACCCCTTCCTGTCCCCTTAAGAACAAACACTGACTTCTCTTTCCCTGACCCAGCAGGACTGAAAGTGAGCTGTCGAATGTCACATCTGGAAGGGCTCTCTGGGATAGGCTGACATCTGGCAGGAAGCCCATGGCCCCCCAGGCCTGGGACCTTGGCAGGCATCACCAATCAATCAAGCCTCCCCCCCCTTTTGGGGACCATGGCAGGCATCACCAATCAATCATGACACCCTTTTCTGCCAAGTGCAGACACAGTCTAAGAATTCTCAACACAGGGTATTTCAGGCAGCAGCTACCAGAGTTGGCGAAAAAGAGAAAACCTATTTATCATCCCCAATCTGTCCAGTCCCTCATGGTGGGAAAACTGAAGCTCAGAGGGGTAGAAACTGGGTCTGGTGTCACACAGAAAGTTGATAACAGAGCTGGGAGCAGACCCAGGAGTCCTGACTCCTTACTGAGGCTCCTCCTCCTGCCCCCCTTGCTGCCCTATCACATCCTCTTTTCCACCAAAACTAAGGTTTGTATGTGCAAAAGAATGGTTTTCAACCCGTGGACTGCAGACTCCCATCTTTTCTGCAACATATGGTGGTGTGTGTGTGCAAGTAGGTCCTTCTCTAAGGAAGGAAAGAGTAGCTTTCATCAACACTCAAGACACTGCTTGCAGGACCAAAAAGAAAGGCAAAGAAATCAGACGAGAGTGAGGGGGCTGGGCTTAAGTCTTGCTGCTCAGTATGTAGACCGCACACCAGCAGTATCAACAGGCAGAATTTCAGGCCCTGCCTGGGAGGTGGGGTGGGGTGGGTACAGAATCTGCTTGGTTGTTGAAGTTTGAGAAAGGCTGGAATTCATTAGGCCCTTGGTTTCTGTGTGAAGCCCCCTGCTGAGTGCCAGGTACCCTCACAAATCTACAGAGACAGGGTCCGTGCCCTCCTTTGCAGGAGTGCAAAGAAACCAAGGCCCACCCAGATGAGGCCCAGCTGCTCTCGACTCTGCTAAGGCAAGTCAAGGGACGTGTGTGTTTAAATGGTCAGGAGACAAAGGGTGGTTTCCTCTCCAAGGAGTGGGAGACCCGGCATGCATTCAGCAGGTATGTGGGAGGCTCTTGTCGGGAAGACTTGCTGGGCACAGGGTAGCTGCCATCCTGCAGAACAGTGTAGAGAGGGACTGGGTTTTAAGCAGCCGTGGGATGTGGATGAGCTGAGCTGAGCCACAAGGGATGTGCTGCTTAAAGCTGCCTGGTGCTGAGAACTTCTCGTCCAAGGTGAGTTTGCTTTGGTGAGTGCTGTGCCAGGTGGACCCAGCTGGTCTCGTAGGTTCTGAAGGAAGATGGATGTATGTCGGTTAAGGAGCCTGGGACACAGGTTTGCCCTGGTGGAGCTGGGAGGAAGGTGTTTCGTCACCCCCAGCCTCATCCTCTCCCCTACATCCCCACTGCCTGTGTGCCCACTGCTTGTTTTTATACATGGGCCTCACTGGGGCTACCAGTGCATGTGTGTGTGCTGAAGGTGACATGTCCAGGGTCCAGACTGCACAGCTTGTCCAGCCTTTGCGGCAGACCTCACACGGTGGCCTCTTGCTGAGCTGGAGCCCTCTGCTGCCCCTGACCAAAACCTGCGCCTCACACTGCACTCTCAGGGTCCACACAGAATAGGGGTAAGGAGCCAGGCCCGGGAGACAACAGTAGATGCATTGGAAATGTGGGCAGGTGGTTGGATGGATGGGTGGCTGAAGGATAGATGGATGGATGGACGGACAGACAGGTGGATAGATATATGGATAGCGGATAGACAGGCAGATCTTAGATTCACATACCATACAGTTCTGTGTAAACTGTGTAGTTCTGTGGATTTAGTGTATTCAGGGTGGTACAGTCATCACCACAACCAACTGTAGACCGTTTTGTTACCCCCAGAAGAAACCCATCAGCAGTCACTTCTCATTCCCTCTCACTTTGGCCCCTGACAACCGTTCATCTGCTGTGTGTCTCTCTGGATTTGTCTGTGATGGTTGTTTCATAAAAAGTCATAGAATACGTGGTCATTTTTGACCGGCTTTTTAGCTTGGCATAATGTCAAGGTTTGTATATGTTTAGCACGTGTCAGTACTTCATTCCTCTTTGTAACAGAATAATATCCCATTGCATTTAGGTACCACAACTTGCTCATCCGTTCCACCACAAATAACATTTGAGTTGTTTCCTCTTCTTGACTATTATGATTAATTCTGCCATGAACATTTGTGTCCCACTCTGTGTGGATGGGATAGATTTGTTTTGCATCCTGTCCCTCCACCACTTACTTGCGGTGGGGCCTTGGGCAAACTGATTCCCCATCTCCCTTGCAGTCTTGGCCTTTTTCATTATTAGGGACCATATTTTTGTTGTACATTTTTTAGAAGTTTGAAATAGAGCAAAGTTCGGCAGCTGGAAAAGCTCCTGGTCATTCCTGTTCCCCTCTGCCACAAGAACAGCACGTCCTAAGCTGGGCTTGCTCCTTCGCGCAGGGCTCAGAGGAGTTCATGGGGTAGACACAGCTAACTCATAAAGGATGTTTAATGTGAGCAAGAAGTAAGCCTTTGTCCTGTAAGCCACTGAGGTTTGGGGGCCATTGATTGCTACAGCTTTAGCTGGGAAGAGTTTAATTCTTGCAGCGGTTTGCACGGTGGTTTCTCTTACTATTTCTATTTCACGAGGAAACTGAGGCTTAGAAAGGTTCGCTAACTTTGTTGTGTTTGCTCAGCAGAGGGATGCTTCGAGGCCCAGCCCCAGCTATTCTGGCTCTAGAGCCTGTGCTCTTAAGAAGACGGAAGTACGTGGGCTGTTTGGTGGATGATGAGTAATCTGGTGTAGATGGAGCACCTGGTTTGTGCATGACATCAGACTTGTAGTATGGGTTTGGGGCAAATCCTGGAAGTCTTGAATTTTGTGTGGATACTGAAGCTTCCCGGTGCCAGATGGGGACCTCGATTCCTCCCTTTGCCCACAACTCAGCGTCTTCCAGAACTCACTCAGTTTGTCCCCAGTCCTGGTGGAGATGGCTTCCTGGGGAAAGGCAGCCATGTGTGGAAACTTCATATCTTCCTTCCAGTGACTCCCTTCTCTGGGAAGTCTCCCTGCCATTGACTGGAGCAGAGAAAATGACTCTCCCGGCTACCCCCACTGTTTGATGTAACATCTACCCCTATGCTGAGTGCATTCACTCTGCATCCAGAACTTTGCATCCTCAGTTCACATTTTGGTTTCAAAGTTTCATCTTTTCCCTGCACATCCTCCGTTTGTCAACATAACCTTCTGTTGTTCCGGAAGCTGACACTTGCTTATGCAATGGAATCTTATGATTTTATTTGCAATCAAGTATAATTCAGCATTGAAACGATTCTTACAAGCCAGACCCTGCTTCTGTCTCCAGTGCTGTATTCATTACCCTCTTCCTCAGCTCTTAATAGTCTATGTACATTTGTGCCCTTGCTATGTTGTAATTATGACATCTTGTGTTATAATTGCCCTTTTACTTGTCTGCCTCTTCTAGTAGACTGAGAGCTTCCACAAGGTCTGGGTTTCATTCATCTGTGTTGTGAGTCTCCAGCACAGGCTCTGGCAGGGAATAAGAAATAAGTAGAGTTTGTTGAATGAATGATAACTACTTACCTGTACTGTCTTCTCTCTGTTACCTTAAGGTAGCTCCTTAAGGACAAAGATTGTGTCTTATTCAAATTCAAGAAAAGCATGGCATTGGAAATGGGCTCACTAAGTGTATATTTTATTGGGTAAGTTGGAATGACACAGAACCCTGAGAGTTACAAAGCACAGTCCCATGCCTTGCTCAGTTGGTCCTTCCCAGTCTTCCCTCTTCCTCTCCAGTTCTCAAATCCGTATATGCACTTTGTCTCCCTTGCTTCCACCATTTCATCTTTGTCTATGATCTCCCCCCTTTCCCCTTCAAATCCTCCTGGAAAACAATCTGAGGCCTTTGTTCCTCCCCCCAGCATCATGCATCCTAAAGGGACAAAATTATCCTTTGGTCTGTGTTGAGCCAAGATCAGGATCCCCAGTTAACAGCTTTGGCATTGTGGATAGGCTAATTAACCTCCATGCTTCAGCTTTGTCTCCTATAAGTGTAGACAATGTTTATCTTCACTGGAGCTGTGAGGTTTAAATGAAGTGGTGGTTGTGAAACACTTTCGTAGGCTCTAGTTGAACTCAGTAAAGTTCTGGTCTTGGTGGGAAATAGTGATTCTTAGAGGGTGGAGTGTCAGACACCAGTAAGACCCCTAGGATGGAAGTGTGGTTTAAAAGCCAATTCAGGAAGGGGATGCCTCCTATTTCTCCTCTCCTTGTGAGCCCTGCTCCTGCCCAAGGCTGGCCAGTACACTGAGCCTGGTCAGCACCACGGACAGTTCCCACAGCCCTCTGGCTGTGGCTTGTACACTTTATAGTATTTAAGAGGCCTTCAGTTGTGAGTCACAGATTTATTTTATGTCTCATCAAGACGGCTAAAACCTGTCAGAATTTAACTGTGACATGATATGAGTTCTCATTTGTTTCTTAATTTCAGCAATGTTTAAAAGCACTTCTTGTAGAATCTATGAAATAATGACAGTTTATTGTAGGCGATGTCAATGAATGTTTGACCATTGGCCCTTTAGAGGTTAATAATAATAGCTGGCATTGCTGACTGCCAGCCGTGCACTAGGCTTTCCTTGCTTTTCTCTTGTCCTGGGGCTGTCTGCTCTCCATACATCCGCTTAACAAATGTAACATTTGGGGAATCGAAATGTAAGCCAGATAGACAGTAAAGAAACAGTCTTTCCACCATCCTCCTCCCCTGAATATCCCACATCTGCTCCCTGCTTACTTTTATAGAGCCACCTACTATACATTCTTTAGCGTCTGGCTTCTTTCACTCAACATTAGGTTTGTAAGGTTTACCTACCTTGATTCTTTCATTGTGGCTCATTCATTCTCATGGCTTTATCATAGTACATTATGTGAATATATCAAAGTAATTTCCATCCATTCTGCTGTTGAGAGCATGTGGGTAGTCTTCAGTATGGGAATATTGCAAGTAGCTCTGCCAAACTCATTCTTGTCTGTGTCTTTTGGTGACAATTTGTGCACTGTTCTTCTGAGTACATATCTAGGAGTGAAACTGCTGGGCCATTG